TGGTATCATTTATAAAGTACTTTTTCCTGTATTTGACTTTTAATTACAATGGTGACCAGATGTATTATCAAGGTTATACGCCTCAGTATGTTTAGTTGTAACTAAACGTTTTCAAAGCCATTTGGAAGAACTTTACAGATGGTTGTTTACACATCTACATATGGAATTTCAGAGTATAGCAATACTTAATAATGTATATTCACGGAGTTCCGACAAGATGGCTACTGAGTAACACACACCAAAGGGAATCTGCAGAAATCAGCGCAGGAGAGTCACTGAGAGGGAAACTCCACTCAAAATAAGAATATGCTCACACATATTAGCGGATACTATGAAGAAGAGAGAGTAGAGTAACATATTCCAAAAACTGAAGGGAAATAACGCAAACCCAAGAATACTCTATCCAGCCAAATTCTCTATCAAGGTTGGTGGAGAAGTGAGAGCCTTCCTGGACAAGGAAAATCTCAAAGAATACGGTAAAAGAAACCCAGCCACCCAAAAGATCATCGCGGTGCAGTTCACAATCACTAGGAGTTGGAAACAACCCAATTTTCCATCACTGGATGAATAGACTAAAAAAACGGTTGTACATACATAAAATGTAGTACTATACATCCCTAAAAAGCAGTGATGGATGCATGAAGCACATCACCCCATAGGAAGAACTGGAGAAAACGATGCTAAGCAAAGTAAGCCAAGCACAAAAAGACAAGTGCAACATGAGTACACTGAAGTAGGCTTAAAAATGCATAGGGCAAAAGCTACTATATATATATACACATACATTCCTGGGATGAAGTCCTGGTACTATGGCAGGGGCCAGGCCAAATCCAGGGATACATATGGCAGCCAAATATAAAGGAGGGGAAGAGAGGGGTAAAAAAAAGATGTGTGTAGCGGGGGAACAGGGCACTAACCTACCCAAGGGAGGTTATTGTTTATATCTATCTCCACAGGAGAGGAAGAGAGGGACCAGACTTCAACCTGATGCACCAAAGCGTGAACTCAACATACTGGCTAAAAGCAGCAAACTAATAGAGAGGTCTGTGGGGCTGGCCCCTACCCCAACCACGTGGATAGTCCCAACTCCCTGAGAAGTGCACTTCAGAGGATAGCACTGCAGCTACAGCTCAGGGAGAGGGACATGTCTGATCAGAGCACATGGGAGAAAATGAAGAGGGAAGGGGAGAGAGTAGAACACATCCTGACCCACCAAGCTCCAAGGATGATATTCCTGCTCAGAGCAGCCAGTGCACAGAGAGGACCATAGGGCCGGCCCAACCAGGAGACACAGCAATGGGGTGCAACACTGGTGCACTGGTGACACAGTATGGGAATTGTGCCCAAATCTGACCCCGCCACACCGGGGTAAAACACTAAGTGTGTGCAACTGGGCAACAAGGGGAGCAAAGCATTGAAGTCCCCGGGGAAAACCAAAAATAGACTTTGGGGCCAGGGTATGGCACCCCATCAGATTTGAATGGAAAATACTCCTAAAGGTCAACAAACTGACCTGGAACTGTTTATAGGCTTTTCTTTGCTTGTCTTTGGGTTTTGTTGTTGTTTTGCTTAGTCTTGTTTTTGTGCTTATTATTGTCTCTGCATGACTATCTAGATAAGATAGGTGGGGTAAACAATCTGGAGGAGAAAACAACAGGACCAACGGTTCCAGGGGGACATGAGAGAGGGGGAGAGAGGGGAAAGGAAAGGGAGGTGTCAACAAATCCAGGGACAAGGGAACCACAAGTGATCAAAATAGAAGGCAAGGAGGGTGTAGGATGCTTGGTAAGGCCTGATCCAGGGCAATGTAGCCAAGAGGAATTACTGAAACCCAAATGAAGGCTGAACATAATAGTGGGACAAGCGGAAAGTAAAAGGAAATAGAGAAAAGAACCAGGAGCTAACGGACATGTACAGAGGTCTAAACACAACATTTACATATGTAAATA